CGTCCAGGCCCCGCCCCCGCCTGGCCCGCCTCCCACCTGGGTCTTGCGGATGCGCAGGTCCGCGGAGGAACGGTTCAGCCCCTCCTCCTGCTCGATGCTTTGCTCGATCGCTGCGGGAGAGAGGATGCAGTGACGGGCCGCAGACCCGGGGCGTGCGGGGCGGGGGTCCGGGACGGAGGAAGGGCCGACACCCCGAGGCAGGCCCCAGGCCTGTGAAGAGATGTCACACCCGTGGCGAAGGCAGACAGTAAAGGATCCATGGTGAGGGGCAGGAGGCCGAAAAGTAAAGGGACAGACGTTTGAGGGGGTCAGGAGGGCAGGTGGGAGGGAGGTTGAGGGCCGAGGAGTCACCAGACCGAAGGGCACTACTTGTTCCGTCGTTGGCTTGGGTCTTGGAAAGCCCGTAGCTGTAACTACGGCCCATTCCCGCGAGGGAGTGGGGCCAGGCCACTGTGGACGCCCCGTGTGCAGGGAGCTCGCTCGCCGCATGCTCGGGAAGGGGCCGGAGCCCACCCCGGGGTTTTCCGTGGAAGACGAGCACTTCCAGGTGGCTCAGAGGCCACCATTTCCTTGGCAAATTCTATGTGAGTGGATGGAAGCTCCACAGGGAAAATAGCTCTCCCCCTGCCCTACCAGGTACCCTGTCCCGGAATTCCCACTTCTAAAGGATTCTGGAAAAGCACTCAGATTAACTGGGGTTTCTGCTTCCGGGTCATGCCCTCCTGACACTTATTCAGATTTTCTTAAAAAGAGCTTGTAAGCTGAAACCGGTTTGGCTCAGTGGATAGAGCGTCGGCCTGCGGACTGAAAGGTCCCAGGTTCGATTCCGGTCAAGGGTATGTACCTGGGTTGCAGGCACATCCCCAGTAGGAGATGTGCAGGAGGCGGCTGATCGATGTTTCTAACTCTCTATCTCTCTCCCTTCCTCTCTGTAAAAAATCAATAAAATATATTTTAAAAAAAAATTAAAAAAAAAAAAAAGAGCTTGTAAGATGTCCTGTGCTCGGAGATGCAGCGGGATGAATCGCCACCGGGTCCCCTCAGCCCTGGAAGGGCCTCCAGCCCGGTCCTGAGAACATCACTGCTCCGTTCCGCTGGCAGCAGGGACCTATGGGGCTGGACGGCACCCCGCTCCCTGCAGCAATGCGGGGCAGTGACTGAGGCCCAGCTGCTGCAGGAAAAGCACAAACACGCCCCAGGGAGGTCAGACTCTGGTCCGGACTCGGATCCTATTGCCCGACGTGGGACTGGAGCCCAGCCCTGGGCGCAGGGGTCCTTTACTTGACAGCCTCACTGACTTCTTACCAAAACCCTGGGAGGTCAGTGATATCGATCCACGTTTCAGACAGAAACCGAGGTTCGAATGGGCAAAACAACCCAACGTCGCCCACAAAACGCGAGCTCGTGCCGCCACACAGCTGGAGGAAGAGGAGAAGAGAAGCTCCTCTTTCTGGGGTCTGGAAGGTCAGCTTCTAGAAGCTCCTGCCACTTTTCCTAGTTTCTTGACCTTTTCCTGAACCCCTAAACCATGGAGCTCTCCTCATGGTCTAGCAGAGAGACTATTAAGGTGAGAGCTCGCCCTGACTGGTTTGGCTCAGCGGATAGAGCATCGGCCTGCGGACTGAAGGGTCCCAGGTTCGATTCCTGTCAAGGGATGTACCTGGGTTGCAGGCACATCCCCAATAGGGGGCGTGCAAGAGGCAGCTGAATCGATGTTTCTCTCACATCGATGTTTCTAACTCTGTATCCCTCTCCCTTCCTCTCTGTAAAAAATCAATAAAATATATTTAAAAAAAAAAAAAAGGTGAGAGCTTGATTGTCCCAAGGAGATCACGGAGCCCAGGGATTTCTAAGCTGTGTTCCATGGAACCCTGATTTTGAGAAGGAACTTGATGGGAGTGTTCCAGCCCCAGTTCAGCCAGAACAGCCGGATTTTTATGTGCTGTATATACTGGGGTTCTTTGTAAGATTTCATTTGGAAAGAAAGGATTTTGCTACAAAAAAAAAAAAAAAAAGCCAGCTTTGAAATTGTTTCCATTTTTCTTACTGAGGGTAGGGTACTTGTCCAAATGAGTGATGATGTCAGTTGGGCTCCTTCTGCCTGGATTTGTACTTCATGTGCTCCCAGTTTAGGCCATTTTCCTTTCCCGCACACTCTCCTGAGTGCAAAAGGTTTGTGTTTACAGATCAGCCCTGGCTAACGCACGGCCTCCTGTTGAGTCCAGGAGGGCATCACGTCTCCGTCCTCATCCCCGGGCCGAGGTCACAGCACGCAGGCCCAGGCATCTGCCACGGCCCCCGTCCCCCAAAGCCCCGCAATGTGCTCGGACAGAGGAGGCGCGTGGCCAATGTTGTCTGCTGCTGGATGGCCATGAGCATGCAAAGTAGCATCACGGTCACACTGCTATTCCCCTGGCACCGGCCGACAAGGAGGTTCCCAACCCACAATGCCTTGGGGGAAGGTGGTTATTACCAGCACCCAAGTCCTTAAATTAGAGTGAATACATGAGCATTTGGCAAGTCCCTCCTGAAAGCTTGCCAGCCCCTGATGTCAGCCACACAGTCCAATCTGTCCTGAGCCGAGGATACCAATTCAGAAGCATTTGCTGAACCCACCTACTGGGTGCCTGGGACTATGCCTGGCACCTGTTCTGGGGAAACGAGGCCTTAGTGAAACTAAAGCCGCTTGGGAGGCTATATTTTTCTGATGGAACCAGCAGAGCTCATATACAATCTGGACAGCCCGCCCCCTCTCCCTCATTTCCCTGTCGTGTCTCCTTCTTCAAGGAATCTGGAGCAAGGAGGGAAACTGGGGCCGTGTGCTTCCTCACTGGGCAAGAATCTGGCTCCTAGAAGTGTGTAGACATTCCTGATAGAAAGGCCTGTTTGGCGGCCGGGAGGCAGAGCTTTTTCTCCTTCGTCGGGGGATTGCAATCCTCACCTTTCAATTTGGACCGAACCTTGTTGGCCGTCTTCTTGATGTCTGCAGTGAGGTCCTCCAGCTCCTGTTTGGTCTCTGAGGAGGGGGCCGGGGTGAGTGAGAAGTCTGGGTGGACCCAGCCCGCCCCCGGCCACTCCGCAGCGGCACTCACTCTCATCCGGGTTGGGGGCGGCCAGGATGGCGCTGTGCTGTTTTTTCACTTGCTCCACATCCTCCGACAGCTTCTCAATGCAGCCCCGGATCTCTTCCACCTGGGGCGGCAAATTGGCGATGCCCGGTCAAGTCTTCAGGCCAGACAGGGCATCCGCAGGGCTCACTCGGGGTTCAGGGAAATGGGCAGACCCAGAGGGACTGGTAAAAGGCCAAGGGGTGGAGGACTAGAGAGTGGGGAGGGGGCAGTTGTTGGCTGGGGGCCAGGTTCTGGGTCTGGGGTATTGGAGACTCAGTTACCTGCTCAAAGAACTCATCCATGAAGTGATCCCGATCCACATGGACCACCTCCTCCTCATCATCACTGTCTTTCGCCTGCGAGACCAAGCAAGGTGGAGACCATGAGCAGCCCCACCCTGGCCCTGCTGCTGCCAGCTCTAGGCTCAGAGCAGGCGGCTGGGAGGGGCCATAGGCAGGGTGCACGGCCAGCCCCCAGGCGATCAGGATGAACACTGGCCATGGGGTGGAACAGCACACCAGGGGCCAGGTAGCTGATGGGAATGAGCAAAAGGCGCCTCTCAGGGGTGGATGTGGCCCTGGGAATGCACAGGACCTGCTATTAACCAACCAGCATGGAGGTGTTTCAATACTGTAACAACCAGCTGAATGTCGGCCATGCAGTGATCGGCTCTGGGCTCTGAGAAGGGGTCTGGAATGGAGTCCCAGGAGCTGGACCTCCCCACCATCCCTCAGCCACTGGGGCCAGGCCTCACTGTGCCCCCTCTTCTTCCCGGCCTGCGTGCCCCCTCTCCCTGCTACGTCCCCTACACAAGGTCAACTCACTGCCGGCTGCGGGGCGGTGCCGGGTTGAGCGAGCAGTCAGGCCCCATGAGGGCTGGAGGAGACAGCAGCACCCCGACACCCCTCCCTCCTGAGTCTTCCTCCTCCTGCCCACCCGCACCCCCTCAGCTTGCTCTGCCCCCGCTGCCCCGCTGACTCCCCGACTCTCCTTGGTGTATTCACTTGCTTTCATCCAGCCTCTTCCCACTTCACACCCACCTGCTCTCACTTGCTTGGATTTCCTAGTTGCAACCTGCAGCTGCTCAGCCCTCCACCCCCAGGGCTCACAGACACAAAGGGATTTACACACCCACACCTCCACCGAGAGACCAGTGACACACACCAGGCACACAGACAGGCCCACCGACACCCACACGGAGACACAGTAACAGGCTGGCGTTCACCCACACGCAGACCCAGGGCAGAGCTGCGTGCTGCCTCGTGTGGACACCGCGGTCACCCGCACCCGGGGCATCCGGGAGCCCCCACCCCCCCCACCCCCGAGCCTGGTCTCCCAGCCTCAGAGCCTCAGGTCTGCACACTCGTTTGGAGCTGGGAAAAGGGGAGGGGCAGGGAGGCTCACCGGTGCTACCCTCCTGACTCAAGATTCTCTGCGTGGGGCAGAAGTCTGAGGACAATAGCTGAGCCCGCCCAGCTTAAGTACACCTGCGGCCCTAACCAGCCCCGCGGGAAACTTAAAGGGCTCACCCTGAGCCCCGGGAAGAACCTCACACCACTCAGAATCTACTAGCCAGTACCAGAGCCTGAGTGAAATCAAGACAGGATCCAAAAAGCGTCTGCCTGGGGGGTGGGGGCGTGTCTAAAGAGAAGAGCTCCCATGGAACCTCCACAGGGTCCAAGCAGATCGCAGACAGACCCCGGCAGAACCAGACGGGCTCAGACCGAACCAGACTCGGCACAGACAGATGCCAGACAGCTCAGATCGAACCTAGACAGCCAGATGGGACCTAGCTGCAATCCAGACAGCGGGTGAAGGCGGGATCCGCAGAGCCCGGATGGCCCTGGAAAGAACCGCCAGCCCAGGGAAGACCCAGCCGGACTCTAGAAGCCACCAGCTTCCTGCCCACGCCCTGCCCGGAAACCCCAGGAATTCTCCCGCAGGCGGCCCCACACCATGTCAGAAAGTGTGTTCCGCACTTACATTTAATTTCCAGAGAATCCCAAAATCCACCAGGAAAGGGAGGCGCCTCCATCTCTGCCCACAGCTGCCCCAGAAGAAGGGTGGCACCAGGTAGGGCGTGGGACTCTGATGGGTCTCAAGCCCCCACCTGACCCGGGACCACCCCCACAGACCTTGGCCCTTAGAGACTTGGGGTGCTTGGCTCGTCTCTGAAGCCCCACCAGCCTCCCATGATGCTTTGTCCTCAAAAAGCCAGCTGTCACCCTAGCCGGCTTGGCTCAGTGGATAGAGCCGTCAGCCTGCAGACTGAAGGGTCCCAGGTTCGATTCTGGCCAAGGGCACATGCCTGGGCTGTGGGCTCCATCCCCAGTGGGGGGCGTGTAGGAGGCGGCCAATCCATGATTCTCTCTCATCATTGATGTTTCTCTCTCTCTCCCTTCCTCTCCCTTCCTCTCTGAAATCAATAAAAATACATTAAAAAAAAAAAAAAAGCGAGCTGCCCCATGAGGACTCCTTCCCCTGGCACCAAAAGCCGGGCCTCTGCCCCTTCTCTGCCTTCAAGCACTCGACTTAGCCCAGCTGCCCTCAGGTCGTGAGGCCTCCCCTTCCTGCTCTCTCTTTCCCTTCCCCATGCTGACTTAGACTTCCTGAAGCCCAATTTCTGTCTCTCCTATTGTTCCCAGAGCCAGTTCCTTAGCTTCTGCCCTGAGGCACGCGACCTGCCTATTTCCCTGTCCTTGAGACAGGAAAAGAGACAGAGGCCCCAAGTATGACCTATTTGGTGTAATAATTACAGAGCCGAGCGCTAACAATCCGCTACAGTTCACAAACACTTCTGCATCGATAATCCCTTTTGATCCCCACAGCCCTGCTGAGAAAGGAAGAGCAAACACCACTGTCCCCATTTCACAGATGAGGGAACAGGAGTCAGAGGGGAAAAAGGAAAGTGGCGCCCAGGCTGAAAGGAGTGGGGAAACCGTAGGCATCTAAGACAGGCCTCCCCTACACGCCTCCACAGCTGGAGACGGGGCCACCTCCTGCCAGCACCTCTGCCCCAGCTATCTCCCTCTCAAGGTCCAATCTGGGGGAGGCTCTGTGCCCTGAAATCCTGGCAAAATGTTGCCATTTAAGAGCACCTTTGCATAGACCTTACCATCTTGTTATCTCATTTAATCTTCATTAAAACTCCATGAGGACCATTGACCAACATTATAATCATGGCAAACATTTACATAGCATGTTATGGATACCATTCTATGCACTCCGCATATATTTATCCATTTGATTATTTTTTAAATATATTTTATTGATTTTTTACAGAGAGGAAGGGAGAGGGATAGAGAGTAAGAAACATCGATGAGAGAGAAACATCGATCAGCTGCCTCCTGCACACCCCCTACTGGGGATGTGCCCGCAACCAAGGTACATGCCCTTGACCGGAATCGAACCTGGGACCCTTCAGTCTGCAGGCCGAAGCTCTATCCTGAACCAAACCATTTAGGGCCATTTGATTATTTTTTTTAAATGTGTTTTATTGATTTTAGAGGGGGGGAGGGGGAGAGAGAGAGAGAGAGAGAGAGGCCAAACCATTTAGGGCCATTTGATTATTTTTTTTTAATGTGTTTTATTGATTTTAGAGGGGGGGAAGGAGGGGGAGAGAGAGAGAGAGAGAGAGAGAGAGAGAGAGAGAGAGAAATATCGATGTAAGAGAGAAACATCAAGCAGCTATATATGCACCCTGACTGGGGAGCTAACCTGCAACCTAGGTATGTGCCCTGAGCAGGAACTAAACCTGCAACCTTTCGTGCATGGGGCGACGCTCCAACCAACTGAGCTACACTGGCCAGGGCTCTCCCTCTAATTCTTACACACAGCCCCCTGAGATAGATATCATAGCTCCCTTTTGTAGATGGGGAAACTGAGACACAGAGAGGCTAAGGAATTTGCCCAAGTCAGTAGCTAGAAGGCCACATGACTTCCCTCTGAGCCTCAGCCTCTGCATTTTCTGGGTGGCAATAATGTCTACCCCAAATGGGGGGCAGGAGGGCAATGAAACCAGGCGGGGGGGGGGATGCCCCATCTGCCAGAGAGAAAATGAACGCTAAGTGGGGGCTGGCTATTACCCCTTCCCCTCCCAGGTTACAGATGACGTACAGGCTCAGAGAAGTTGCCTACCTGTCTAAGGCTTCGCAGCAAATAAGGCCAGAGGTGGGGCCTGAACTGTCCGGTGCTAAATGCCAGGCTCTTTCCCCTCCATCCTTCCCTTCCTACCTGGCCTCAGAGAGTCCGTCCTGCTGTGTCCTCACTCCTGCTGAACTCCCGAGGCCAGGACGGCAAAGCATAAGAGGTGCCTGGCGGCAGGAGGAGCTCACACAAGGAAGCCAGGCATTCTCGCCTCCACTCGACTCGCTGTGTGATCCTAGGAGAATCTCAGCCCCTCTCTGGGCCCCAGTTCAGCTGTGAAATGGGTGGGCTGTACAGGTGCTCAGTCCGTCCTGCTCTGGGGTGTACGTGTCCAATAATGAGCACAGCCTCCATGTCTGGAAGCTGGCCAGCCTAAAAGAGCGAGGCTGCGGGCAAATGAGACGACCTAGGAAAGAGGATCAAATGTGCCTGATCCTCTTTACTGGACAATCCAAGCCTCTGTTTCCTCATGAGCAAAATGAAGATAAGAATTATATGCATCTCGCCCCGGCTGGTGTGGCTGAGTTGGCTGGAGCATTGTCCTGTGCACCTAAAGGTCACTGGTTCGATTCCCAGTCAGGGCACATACCCAGGCTGTGGGTTTGATCCCCAGCCAGGATCGGTGTGGGAGGCAACCAATTGATGTTTCTCTCTCTTTCTCCCTCTCTAAAATCAATTTTTAAAAATCATGTCGCCCTGACTGGTTTGGCTCAGTGGATAGAGCGTCGGCCTGCAGACTGAAGGGTCCCAGGTTCGATTCCGGTCAAGGGCATGTACCTTGGTTGCGGGCACATCCCTAGCAGGGGGTGTGCAGGAGGCAGCTGATCGATGTTTCTCTCTCATCGATGTTTCTAACTCTCTATCCCTCTCCCTTCCTCTCTGTAAAAACGCAATAAAATATATATTTTTTAAAAATGTTTAAAAATCATGTCCTTGCCCTAGCTGGTGTTGCCCAGTGGTTCGAGTGTCAGCCCCTGAACTGAGGGGTCTTGGATTTGATTCCTGGTCAAGGGCACATACCTGGGTTGCAGGTTCCATCCCAGCTCGTTGGGCAGTGTGCAGGAGGCAACCAATAGATGTGTCTCTCTCATATCGATGTTTCTCTCTCTTTTCCCTCCTCCCTCCCTTCCACTCTCTCTACTGGTAAAAATCAATGGAAAAAATATCCTCAGGTGAGGATTAACAAAACAACAAAAAATAGTATGTGCTT